AGTCCAGCGCCATCTAGACCCACATCAAGACCTTCATCTCGAGCTCCCTCGCGACAGACGTCGACGAAAGGTGACAGCGAAAAAGAAAAGAAGACGAAGACTGCAAATGGAAAGGACCAAAGGGAAGGTTCTATCGTCCACAAGCGATTTGAAATGTTTCCAGATGGCACACACTGTCATCATCTCAAAAGTGCAAGACGGCAGGAGAAGCTGACCGATCTTCTGCGAGACATGCTGGGTGGTGGTAGCAAAAAAAAGGACGACCACGTGGATGACCAGCAACTGTCACTAATGTCTACTTGGATCGACCAATTCAAGACTGAGCGTGACAAACTGGCCGCCGACAAGAAGGGGGGCCCCAACGCCACGGCCTCTCTCGTTGATAAATATGGCAAATGCCAAGAGATTGTTGGACGTGGCGCCTTTGGCATTGTCCGGATCTCTCACAAAGTGGACCCGAAGGACTCTAGAGTTGAGCAGCTCTATGCTGTCAAAGAATTTCGCCGTCGCCCGCAGGAGACCGCCAAGAAATACCAGAAACGCTTGACCTCTGAATTCTGCATTTCCTCGTCCCTCCGTCACCCTAACGTGATTCACACCCTCGATCTGTTACAGGATGCCAAAGGCGACTATTGTGAGGTCATGGAATACTGTGCCGGCGGAGACCTCTACACACTCGTGTTGGCCGCTGGCAAACTGGAAGTTGCCGAGGCCGATTGTTTCTTCAAACAGCTCATGCGAGGTGTAGAATACATGCACGAAATGGGCGTCGCTCATCGTGACCTCAAGCCGGAGAATCTTCTCCTGACTACTCACGGTGCACTCAAGATTACAGACTTCGGGAATGGTGAGTGTTTCCGTATGGCGTGGGAGAAGGAAGCGCACATGACTGCAGGTCTCTGCGGCTCTGCTCCATACATTGCGCCTGAGGAATATGTGGAAAAGGAATTCGATCCAAGGGCTGTTGATGTCTGGGCGACAGGCGTCATCTACATGGCTATGAGGACAGGAAGGCATCTGTGGAGAGTTGCCCGCAAGGATGAGGATGAATTTTACCAGCGTTATCTGGAAGGTCGCAGGCATGAGGATGGTTATGCTCCCATTGAAACTCTGCATCGGGTAAGAGCTCATCGAGGTTGCCTCAAAGGGTCATCAGCGCTTACACTTTCTCAGGCCCGTTGTCGCAATGTGATCTATTCCATCCTTGACCCCAACCCCTCTCGCCGTATCAACGCCTCGCAGGTCCTCAAATCTGAGTGGGTCCGCGAGATCAAGCTGTGTAAGGCGGGCGAGGAAGGGTTCTGATGAATAGCTGGTGTGTTATCTGATCCGTGCGGGTTAAATGGCGGATTTTTGCATATCTGGGGAGGTATTGTCTCAGCCATCTTACGTCGTATTTGCTTGGCTTGTCCTCCCTTCGCAAATGTGCCGCACAATTGCCTCACTGTGTCCATATGAAAAACATGGCGGTTCATGTTTTACCCGTTCCAGGCGGTTGTCCTCCTTTGACTAGATCTGTAGAAGGAGGTGTCTTTGTTTTCCTTTCCGGCGCATATATTTGTTTTGCTCTTTCCTTGCTACTAGCTTATGGGCTTAGTTTCATCGTCATGAATTGATGCCATTGCAACGAACCGTCATGACCATTGAGCTTATCCTCATTTCTTACTTGGATACTCTCTCTTCTTCCCCACTGATGGGCTCTGATACCGGCTCTACAAAGTTTAATGGCTTCCTCATGTCGACTGCCTCTTGATTCGGCTGACAAAGCATTCTACAGGCCGGCTTATCTCTTGCATCTTTCTTCCCTTCTTTCGACCTTTGCACATTCTCTATTTCCTCTCCTGCGCCTTTCATATGTCTTTCTCTTTTCCGGGGCATTATGACTGGGAATCTTTACGGGGTTTTGCATGAACTCAGCGCGCGTTACTCGTGCATTGATTTTACCCCGCCTTACCAAAGCGCGGTTTGGCTTTTTCAAATTATTCATTTACTTTTTTTCAACAAATCTGTATTCCTATAATGAGGTATACTGGGAGGCAGGCTGGTTAAGCAGGTCTTGTTTATACTCACCCGGTTATGTACACTATGTTATCCAGGTCTCTATTTTTTTTATAGAATGAACGCTGCAAAGCATTCGTCATGCAAATGAGGAGTACGATTGTCCTTTTCCATACCTCAACCCATATTCATTGTCTGTTGATCTGTGCTCAACTATACGACATGGCATCATGCCATTTTGGAAGGCATATTTAGACGGTAAACGTGTAGCGGTATGTGCAAAAAATCCTCTCCCTGTTCATTCTTATCCCAGTGCTGAAATCTTGGGTCTTCACTTCGGAAACAAATGACTTTGTCGCTATCTGATTTCGGCGGTCGTTCGTCGCTAGGATCACCAGGGCATTGCAAACTTTGGTTCCCCTTGACCACCCAGGGCTTCTTGAGTCTTGAATGCGACGTCCCCTGCGGCATTGTCTCAAGACGAAGATATTGAGGTGGTTGACCCTTACTTTACTATGGCAACATGGTGCGCTTCCGGTTGTGGTCTGTAATGCCATCTCACGAAACGCATTCAACAGTCCAGACTTTGCTGACTTGGTTGTCTTCGCTTCCTTACGTCGTGGTCTTACCAGCAGGAAATTTTTCGATAGACCTAGAAATTGTAATTACATGAATATCAAGTGCCTAACGTGACAAGCTCTGTGAGTTCAGATGAGCAATCTACACACATATCATGGCTTCCCTACACCCAATTTGGGTTCGTCCGCATGTGCCATGGTACGAAGAAAGCAAAGACGGGTGGTATAGAATCTATCGTGGAGTCATGAACGGTCTCCAATAGATTGTGCTGTGCTACTTGCTAATCCTCAACCAGCTCATCCAGCAAGTCCACCGGACTTTTGAGTTGGAATATGGCATCCACATAATCTTTGCCCATCATGCACTGGCCCATATTGAGTCTGATCTTCCGGTTGACATCATTTTCAAATCGTTGGGAGGCTTCCTCTTTGATGACATGACGTACACGGAAAATTCCTCCAGTACCTTACTGTTCCATACCGTCGGATCCGTTACCGATAGAAACCGCCATGAAGTAATGTACCACAACAGCTGTGGCTAACTCGACTATGACTTCCGTAAGAAACAGGCATCCGTATTTCGTCAGGTAACATAAATACCCACAGCCACACACAGCCACCTGGAACGGTGCCAAAGCCATCATCATCGTCCCGCATTTGGGCATCTTATCCAGGTTCAGCCCTGCGACGATCGTCCTTCGCTGCTCCGTAAACACTGTGCAATCGTAATATTGGCACTCGAAACTCTTAGTATTTTTCCTTCTTGCGTCAACAAGCACTCTTTGCGAATCCTACTTCTGTCCTCTATTCCTTACTTCTTACTCGGTTCTCTACTCTCGCTCGCTTCCTGTTCGCCGTTTCTGCCTGCACCGCAGCAATCATGTCTTGGGCAGGTTCGCGATTCCATCTCTCTTCGAGTATTTTTTTTTTTGGCTCAACACACACTGACGTTTGCGTTGCTGTGTAGGGTTCAAGAAGAATGTCAACCGTGCGACAACGCAGGTAATGATGAAAACAGGTATGATTTCCCGCAACTCTGCGAAACAGGCTGCAGAGCTTCCGCAGAGAACAAAGCGTCGTGGTAAATCACATCGACTTACATCTGACCTTCAATCCTTACAGGACATGTTGAGAGAACGAATGACCGGGACTATGAAATCGAGGAGCGGTATGAGCTGGTTCGGATATGCGTGTTTGAAATCAGCTACTGATCAACATTTTGTTTGCCAGACGATATCGGACTATGGAGGCTGCAGCAAATCGACTGCAGAAGGAAGCGAAGGGATATCTGGATTCGTTACGAGGTGAGTCAATTATTTGAAACACTACCGTTCATATGGCGGGGCTTTGTGCTGACCGAGACACGCTCGCTAGCAATGACGGCTTCTCAAATGCGCATTGCGGAGACGATTGATGCATTTTACGGCGAGGCAGGTACTCGGGATGGTGTGAGCAGAAGCTACAAGCAAGCTGTGGAGGATTTGGATGCCGAGACGATCAAAGCATTGGACGGGCCGTACAGGTACGACTGTGGATGATCATACTTGCCGAAGACAATCACTGACAATAGTTGATTCGCTTGACAGAACAACCGTACTGGACCCCATTTCGCGATTCTGTGCGTACTTTCCGGATATCAACGAGTGCATTAAGAAGCGAAACCACAAATTGCTGGACTACGACGCTATGAGAGCGAAAGTGAAGAAGTTGGTCGAGAAGCCAGACAAGGATGCCACCAAGCTGCCCCGCGCGGAGAAGGAGACCGAGATGGCCAAGCAAGCGTACGAGCAGCTTAACGAACAGCTGTTCACGGAACTTCCACAGCTCATCGATCTACGGGTGCCGTACTTGGACCCCAGTTTCGAAGCCTTGGTCAAGATTCAACTACGTTTTTGCGCCGAAGCGTATTCGCGCATGGCTCAGGTGCAGCAATATCTCGACGCCGAGACAAGAGACCAATACGCCCGCGGCGACTTGGATAACAGGGTAGAAGAAGTTCTGCAAGAGATCCGGGACCTGAGTATAGCGGGAACCGTATGATAGGTTATATCGGCGGTCCGTTTATGTCTTTCCTCTTCATACTCGTTGCCATTTTTGCGCTTTGCAGGCCTGTTCGCACCTGCGTTTCTATTTTCATGCATATTCTTACTCTTCTATCCCACCTGCTGGGCTATGCAAAATTAGTATACACTATATTTACCAGTCAATCCCGTGCGATGGTATTCTGTGTATGCTCTGATTGCCTCCATTTTCAGAATTGTGAATTTGTTAGTCAAGGCTTTCCACAATGGGAACGCCCTGGAATCAAATACGATGCGCGAACGGGAAAGGTGCTCACAAGATGGGTATCTGTCTAGGAATCGTAATATCGTACTGCACAGAGCGGGGAACTCCGCCATGGATATTTCTGAGTCGATGAAAACATCAGTCATCGTTTGATTCTCGATAGAGCTCATCTGCCAGAATGTCCAAGACTGAGACCGCAGCTGCACGGACTGCAGCCAGTTCGGAGGCGTTCATTTCAGTCAGGACATAGTCCGCAACATCATTTCGGGTTCGCGTCGAAGGACGGCCAATGCCCACGCCTACACGCAGAATGGACAGGCCAGCATTTGCTCCTTGCGCCGTCTGCCCTGTCCGCGCTGGATACAGGCCCTTGCCGCGCAAACTCTCCATGACACTGATCAAACCACGATGACCGCGCAGACTTGCTTTCTCAGGCCCGCCCCTTTTCACCCTTACTTTGCCCAACGGTGCTTCGAGCTCATCATGCAAGATTACCAACGTCGGTCGGAAACTCTTCAGCGAGCGGGGATCAACGCCCCGAAGCTGCCATTCGGCATTCGCAGCAGATGCATCGCCGAAGTTCGCGGGCAAAGCGACGTCCCCTTGGCGGACTACTCGCCCTAATACCTCGGATTGTGTTGTGGATAACCAGCTACTTAGCTGTCGGACCAACTTTGGCCCGGATTCGTTCATGTACGATGGGCTGTACCATGTTTTGTAGAAGATGGGACCGGCTGATGGCTGTCTGGAGGATACCAGAGGGACTCGCGTGGGGAGGAGGGGGACAAGCGCATCGAGGAGGATATGCCCGGCGCTGTGCCGCGTTTGACGGTACGGGCGCATATTGCCTAGTGAGGCGATGAACAGGAACCGGCGGGGGGTTTTGAGCACTGGGCCTTCGGCTGCCATTGCGATGCAGGTGAGCCGGGTTCATACAATTATGGTTGGCGGTGTGGCTATTGGTATTTGTGAAGGCTTCAGAATAATTGATTTTGCAGGTTCGCAGTAAGATGCTAAGTTGGGTAGGCTTTCTTCCAGAAGATCAGGTGGGGAGCAATAATTGAAGGATAATTTTTGTCAATATGTAGCTCAAAAGAGAACCAAATCAGGTAGCTCAATGAGGGAACCAGGAGCTGAAATGCATATGTTCTTTACTGCTTATTGGACATGAAAGGAGATTTCCCTGTGGAGCGGGAGATCGCCATCACAACTGTGGGGACCTTCACAATAAAAGAGGTACATGTTCTGTAGACACGTGGAAGGATTTTGAATTCATGAACGTCTCACGGTTGATGTCGATAGTCATAGAAAAGATCAATGGGTCCTATTCTCCGTCAAGGAAAGATGTTCAGGCGACTGTCTGACTCGGTCGACCTAGGGTGGTTGACTCAAAATAGTTCTTGATCTCCCACATGCGGATTACTGATTGTAGTGCATCTGAGCGTTTTATCTATAGATTAGTCGCGTATACGTGCTTCCGAGAGTAGGTGAGATGCCTGCCACCTTCGGCCGAAAAGCCGCTTTGACAGAATAGTGTTTCGCCCGTACATTATCTACAGAGAAGGCACAGGCATCTGGACAATCAAGAAGAAACTATACGCGCACATGAAAAAAGCCATCCAAAACCCATTTTTGAGAGCTGAACTCCATGCAAACCCAATAATGCAACCAGACATGTAACAAAGGTATAAAACCGAATGAGAGCAGGCTACAGCTGGAACTTGGTACGCTGTTTCTCCATGCCTCCCTTCCACTCCCACTCCTGTCCGCTAGCACGTTGAATTCCCTTGTCAACCCGCCGCAGCTTGAAGTTGATTGCGGGGCCAAGCTCTTGAAGACCGGCGCGAATGCCTTCCACGCCCTTAATTTCCTTGCCGTCTGTGCCAATGACACTCTTCTCGGTCTCGCGCTTCTCGCGGAACACATAACGATGACGCCGGAGGAATAGGTAGTCTCTTTGGTTGTGAATTGTGACGACCTGACGTCCTTCCAGGTCCGGTTGTGGTGGGAACATATTCCGAAAGAGATGGGCTGTAAGTAGACCTAGAGGAGTACGGAAGTTGTTGAGGATCAGTTCCGGCCAGTGCTCGGTGGCATTTCCATGTCCCGGAAGCTTTTTGCCTTCAATCCATCTGCTGATAGTGAAATGGAAAGTGGGTCCCTGAGGTAGGTGGACAATCGTCAGACCGGAGGGTCGTTTCTGATCCTCCTGGAGAACCACGACGGCGGTATAGTTCCGATTCGATGCGAAGGAAGCAATTTCGCGGATGGAGAACTTGTGGGAGTAGCGATGGGCTGTACGACGGATATAAACGCTGTTAGGAAACAGATTGGTAAGGGATTTGGCCTCATCATGGAGGGTAGAGTTGAGCGAGGTAGTGATGAGGATCTTGGGCGTCGGAGGAGGCTCTGAAGTGAACAATGTCGGGAATTTAGCGGCGAGAGCCTCTGGCGCTAGGTTGAGGTTCGTACTCCGAGTCGACTGGCTCGGACTGGTTGCTCGTTCTGTAGCAGACGGAAGGGAGGACTTTTTGCGTCCGCGATTATCATCCTTCTTAGCCTTCCCATCTCCGCCTTCTTCGTCGCTGTCGGAGTCGCCGTCCTCTTCGGAGTCGCTGGTGGCTAGCATACTGTCGACATCATCTTCGGAGTCGTCCGACCCCAACTCACTATCTTCCAATGGTCGGTTAAGTTCGTCTTCCTCCTCTTTCTTCTGTCGCTTGATGCGCTCGACATCAACACTGAGGCCGAGCGCATCTTCAACGTCACTATCGGCCTCATCCCAGACACGTTTCCGATCCAGAGTCAGCGGAATATTCCGTTTGAGACGCTCCTCTTTCAATTTCGGGTTTTTGGCTTCCTCCTTTTTTATTCCAAATCGTTCTGCTCGTCGCTCTGAGTCCTTGGCCCGCTTGCGCTTGACATGAAGCATTTGACGCCTTAATTTGTTCGCGGGCTTATAATCCAGAGCAGCGCTCGGGGGAGGCTTCGATTGCGACTTTTTGGAACCCATCTTGACCCCGAAATGAGAAACAGCCCAACCTTGTAGATGTTGCTATACCAGGTCCGATGCGGAAGAGAAGCAAATAATCAGAATAATTTTGACGGACAAATGTTTCGCCGGCGGACTTTGGACCAAATAGCCCAGAATTGCCTATTGCGGCAACGCCATTCGACCCTTGGAAACCGAGTAAAATAAGGGGAAAAAATCAAGGGAAAAAGGAAATTTTCGTTTTTTCTGACTCACATTCGTTTCACCTCTGTTTACCCTTTCCCCTTGTCTTTCATTACTGTCGGTTCCTCAGGTTCGTTGGTTCTGGGGGTCGACTCACGTGGTGGATGACTCAATTGCCATTTCTTCGACTCTTTCTTCCCCGCCAAATTCCTCTCTGTAGCCCCGCCAGAAGCTTTTTCCACACCACCGCCGCGCTCAAGGCTGTCCAGGCTTCCAAGAAGAATCAGCTCACGATGGCGACCGTAAACACGAAGACCGGCAAGGCCGTTGACCGCGCGGTCTTGGACTCAATGCTCCGGCGCCGGCTTTTCTACACCCCGTCTTTCGAGATCTACGGAGGTGTTTCCGGTCTTTACGACTACGGTCCCCCCGGTACAGCCCTGCTGAACAACATTGTTGATCTGTGGCGCAAACATTTCGTGCTGGAGGAAGACATGCTGGAAGTGGACTGCACCATGCTCACTCCGCATGAGATTCTGAAGACCAGCGGACACGTCGACAAGTTCGCCGATTGGATGTGCAAGGACCCAAAGACTGGAGAAATCTTCCGCGCGGATCACTTGGTAGAGGAAGTTCTCGAGGCTCGCTTGAAGGGCGACAAAGAGGCGCGTGGTCAGAAGGTGGTCGTGGACGAGGAAAAGGAAGCAAAGAAGAAGAAGAAGGCAAAGGACGCAAAGGCCGTCAAGCTTGACGATGCCCTCGTCAAGGAATACGAGGAGATTTTGGCACAGATTGACAACTTCGATGGTCCTCAATTGGAAGAGATCATCGCCAAATACGACATCAGAAACCCGACGACCGATGGCAACCTCCTTCCTCCCGTCGCTTTCAACCTCATGTTTCAGACCTCAATTGGCCCTAGCAGCAACATGCCGGGTTACCTGCGGCCCGAAACCGCTCAGGGTCAGTTCCTGAACTTCCAGAAGCTGCTGGAGTTCAATCAACAATCCATGCCTTTCGCATCGGCCTCCATCGGCAAGTCTTTCCGTAACGAGATTTCGCCTCGCGCGGGTCTGTTGCGCGTGCGTGAGTTCCTCATGGCCGAGATTGAACATTTCGTGGATCCCGAGGGTGGCAAGAAGCATCACCGCTTTGAGGAAGTTAAGAATATTGAAATGTCTTTCCTCAACCGTAACGTCCAGCTCTCTGGAAGCACGAAGACTGAGAAGATGACCATCGGTAAGGCGGTTGAGACTGGTATGGTCGACAATGAGACACTTGGATACTTCATTGCCCGTATCCAGCTGTTCCTTCTCAAGCTCGGCGTGGACCCGAACAAGCTCCGCTTCCGTCAGCACATGGCTAACGAGATGGCTCACTACGCCGCTGATTGCTGGGATGCGGAATTGCAGACCAGCTACGGATGGATTGAATGTGTTGGCTGCGCTGATCGGAGTGCCTACGACTTGACAGTGCACAAGAACAAGACCGGTGCACCTCTTGTTGTTCGCGAGCCCCGGGCCGAGCCTTTGAAGGTCGAGGAGTGGCAGGTTGATTTGGACAAGAAGAAGTTCGGACCTCGTTTCAAGAAGGATGGCAAGGCCGTCGCTGCTGCCGTCGAGTCCCTCTCTCAGGAGCTCCGTGAGAAGTTGGCCATCGATCTGGAGAAGAATGGCAAGATCGAGGTGGATGTGGACGGTGTTGGCTCTGGTAAGGTGGAGCTCGACCAGGACATTGTCAAGATCGAGAAACGCACCCGCGTGGAGAACGTTCGCGAGTACACACCCAATGTCATTGAGCCTTCGTTTGGCATTGGTAGAATCCTGTACAGCATGATTGAGCATGTTTACTGGGCCCGTGAAGAGGATGAAGCCCGTGGTGTACGTATCGCTACACTCTGGAAGTGCGTTTGACACTATGCTAATCTTGCATCTAGGTTCTCTCCTTCCCCCCCGTGATCGCTCCCACCAAGGTTCTGATTGTTCCTCTCTCGACACACGCATCCTTCCGCCCCCTTCTGCAGCAGCTGATGACCAAGTTGCGACGCATGGGTATCTCCAATCGCGTCGACGACTCCTCCGCCAGTATCGGTAAGCGCTACGCGCGTAATGACGAACTGGGCACACCTTTCGGGATCACGGTTGACTTCCAGTCAGTGAAGGACAACACCTTCACTTTGCGTGACCGTGACACAACCAAGCAGGTGCGTGCCAGTGAGGATGAGATTTTGCAGGCGATCCGGTCCCTGGTGGATGGTGAGAAGACATGGGAAGATATTCGCAAGGAACTTCCTGAATTTACTGGCCAGGAGGTTAATTAGAGCCGTGGAGCGTGGTCCATGTAGAGGGGAATTTAAGAAGATAACATGATGAATAAATACCAACATCTCACTCATCTCACTTGCAATGGTTACTATTTGCGACAATATTTAAGACTCTCGAATGAGCGTCGTAGTACAATCCAAAATACTGAGCCCAGGGTAGATACTCGTACAGTCGTCCTCGTAGTACCCTGATATTTTTGCCAAGAATCCGGGGCGGAAAGTGAGCCAACGCCCTCGTCATTGCGGCACTTCAGTTGGCCAACTTACGCAGACAGCGCGCTCTCCCCTTCAATTTCACCTCACCTCCATCGCTATTTGGTCATTTTGCTTCTTCACAATTCACAGCTGTAGTTGGTGTCTTTTTTAGTTACATAGCCGGACGGCCACTCAGTCCTTCCCTATGGCACCAAC